TGCTCTCGCCGCAGACAACCAGCGCGCGGTCTGCCTGCCCTCACCGACCGGCCGCTGTCCCCAGGAGAGGGAGGAAGGCGCGGGGCGAGCGGAGCGGCGAGGCCACGGCTCCAGCCTCCAGGAACGGGGCGCACGGAGCCGCCGGGACCGCGCCGAGCCTCGGGACAATGGGGGCGCGGCAGCTGCTGCTGGTCGTCCTGGCACTGTGCCTGTGCGGGCCCCTGCTGTCTGTCCGCACGCGGACCCGGGCTCCTCTGCCAGGTGAGAGCCGCTGGTGACGGAGGGTCTCCTCTCCTGCCGCCCCCAGCTCCGCAGCGGGGGCCTCCGCGGGAAGGGGCTGCTTGAGGGGGTGAGAGCTCGAGGAGGACGTGTTGGACTTGACTGTGTCCCTCGTTGCAACAGAGCGGTCACAGAGTCCATCTTCACCTAGAGCAGGGTGTCCTTGAACGCACCCCTTGCCTCACTTTACTCCAGGAGCCGGGCGGGCGTGGGCATAAGGATCCAAAGTCTCCCCAGATCGTCTCTCAGAGGGGTGTGCCCACCTCCCTAGGCGGGTTCATGGATGCCCCTTTGGACTCGATTTTGGAGGGCGCCCCAGGCCTGTGACCGAGTGCTGAGTATGGCCAAGGAGGGGTTCTGATTTCTCCTTGGGGAAGGCTAAGGCTCCCCATTGTGTTTGCTCATCATGTGGCCAGTTTCTCCCCAACCCAGGGACAGCCCACAAAGAAAAGATCCCACATCGCTGCAGCAGCCTTTTCAATCCTTTTACTGTAGACGAGAAAGACACACCCGTTGAAGTTTTGTTTGGTTAGATTTTTTCTTTTCTTCTGGAAAGTGGTGTCGGAAAAAGTCCAGTCCGTTGAACATTTGTAGAGAATTAGTGTCAGGAGCTCCCAGGGCGAGCCATCTGTACAGAGGATGTGCACAATGCAAGTACATAGCAGGTGATGGTGGTTGAGAAATTTTTAGATCTGTTATCCCTGCAGCCCATTCCTTCCAAGAGAGTTGGGGAACAGGCTTTTTCAGACACCATCTCCTCCAGTCTCTGATCCTTTCAAGTTGCTTTGTTTGTTTATCTTGTAGACTGTATTTCCTACAGTCTATTTTAAAGTATCTGACCACTTGGCCAAATAAGTCAATGCATTTTCCTCTGCCACCACCCTCAGTAGGGTGAAGGAAATGTTCTCAGCCTGCAAAGCAAAGGGGGGAGGTAGGAAACTGTAATCGTAATACTTTGGAAACTTACTTTTCTTTTTTTTCAGTGCAGAGATAAATTCAAGCTAGTCTTGTTATCCATGAAGCAATGTGTGATCGCCATTGTCCTTCACACACATGCACACTGGGTACAAATGCATCAAGATTAAGATGTGACAGAGACCAGTGTTTTCTCTGTTCTACATCTTCACTCAGAGTGAGTTTGGAGGCAGTGCTTGGGAAAAAACAAAGAGGCCCAGACAGGGGCCCAAAGATTAGCAGCAGCTACCAGCTTGCCTGTGGATAATAGGAGTGTTATCTTTGAGGGTCCTGGGAGAGTGTGGAGGTGGAGGACACCACAGCACTGGTGTGTGGTCAGACGTGATTGCAGCTCTTCATTTTGTCATTTGTTCAGTGTTGTTTGGGGCTAAGCTCCTGATACAACTGTTTACTTGAACTTTGCACTGTTTCTCACAGCTGGGAAGGTTTCTGGCCTCTTTTTGGGAGTGGAGTTAAAGGTTCCTGCCACGCGTCTTACTTCCTTATGTGAGGAGAGGTGTGGACAAAGACAGACAGCACAACACGGGTGTAGACAGACCCAGGAAGGACTGACAGACGACTGAGCAAACATTGCCTGGTTACACCGGGTTCTGGTGACATGGTGGGTTAATTAGGAGAAAGATGAGATAGTCTCCTCTAAGTTTCAGAACCTCAAAAGCCCAGTAGGGCAGCTGTTCTCAGCCTTGTAGGAGTAAATCAACTTCACCATAGTGAGTGTGGTTTTGGTTTTGGGTTCTCGAGCTGCCCTGGGTGAGAAAGAAGAGAAGGGGACGAGGCAGGAAGGTGTGTGTTGAGCACCACATCCCATGTCAGATGCTGGGTCAGACACCATTTTATCTCTATCTCTGGGTCAGACACTATCTCTTTTCACCCTCTCTATCAACTTTGTTAGGGTGAATTTTATCTTTTTTCTGATTCTAAAAGTCAAGCTCATCTTACTAGATTGGGAGAGGGCCTATGTATCCTCTTGGCCACCTGCAGGCAGTACTTGTTGCATTATCTCCAGTGACTTTTCAATAAAAGTAATGGCACCAGCAAAGTCTGTAGACAAGTTCTCCAGGGATCATGCTTACCATCATACACCATGAACCACGCTTCTCGGACAGAAAGCAAGGGTGACGTCAATTCTTACACAGAATCACCAGCCAGCCTTACAAGCATAATTGTGAGACCCCAGACTCAGCTGTAAGTGGCCCTCCAAAGCTGACCATGTCCTCCTGCCAGACAGAACCTTTCCACAACACTCTCTTATCTCCACTTACCCTGGTACTTCCAGCATTGTCACTTTATGGGAGTCTCATCTCCCCAGCTAAGATTACAAGTTTTTCTTTACCGCCATGGAGTCTAGAACAAACATTTACTCCACAGAAGAGGATTGAGAAATTGAGTGCTCATCAACCAGTTTACTTTCCTTTGCTAATTTCCTTTAGATGGGTGCATACATCAAAGAGGGCCAGTGTTCAAGAGTAAACGGTAGTGTTTATAAATCTTACAAGGATCTAGGATCCAGTCCCTTATCCCAGGTTAGGGGACCCTGAGGACAGGAGTGTCTGATCTGATAAAGAAGTCCCGCCCAGGAGTGTCAGGCACGCAGTTCCCTGGGCTGCAGCTGCTGCCTCAGAGGATGATGCTCTGAAAAGCAGAGAGATAAGAAGCCAGAGGATCAGTACAAACAGCTTTGAGAGGAATCGGACAGGTCCTCTAGTTGGGACAAGAAAAATCCCCACAAAAAACCCAACCAAGTTCCCTGTGAGGCTAAGGAAACAGCAGGTGCACCAGAAGCCATGTAGCAACAACGGGTCCTGGGGTGGCACTGACAGTGGTGGAGAGACTGGCATTGCTGTGGAGAAACTGGCAAGGTGTGACTTAAGACTTCTTGCAAGTGTCCTGGCCACAGTTGGATTTTTGTTGTTCTTGACTTTGACGATGGAAGGAAAAGCAATTGCTGAATTAAAACCGGGGCCTGGACTAACTGAGGGACTTATGCCTTGAAAGTGTTGGGCTAAACCCTGGACTGACTTTGGATGGTATTCTTTGCCTCCCCCACTCTCCAATTTGCTTCCCTAATTCTCCCCATTGTTGGTACCATAACAGTGGGTCTGTGAGTCAGCAACGACTATGAATAAACTAACCTCTTGAACTTCTTTCTGCTGGTGGGGCTCTCCAGGCACCATGGGGCGGGGCTAGGGACCCCTGAGCTGCTTTTTTCTGTAGAGCGGTGAGGAGCTGTGTAAGCCAACTCTCCCTGCCCTTGCAGAGATGCTTGTGGTCCTGTACCTCTGTGTCCTGTTTCCTGCTCCTATTTGGACATTTGGTCCAACACCTTTGAGCTGTGGTGTTGGAGAAGAGTGCTGAGTATACCATGAACTGCCAAAAGAACAAGCGAATAGTCTTGAAGAAGGTGCAGACAGAGTGCGTCTTGCAGGCAAAGATGAGAAAGCTTCATCTCATGTACTTTGAGCATGTTGCTAGGAGGTTCTTCCTTGTAGAGGGACATCATGCTTGGGAAGGTGGAAGGTCAGCAAAAGAGAGGAGACCCTCAACCAGGTGGATTGACACAGTGACTGCAGCAATGGGTTCTAGTGTGTCAGAGATTGTGAGGATGGCACAGGACAGGACAAAGTTCAGATCTGTTGTTCATAGGGTCGCTGTGAGTCATACTTCACTTGATAGCTTCTCATAACAACAACAACAACTAACCAAAATATTGGTTTGAACCCACCCATATGTGCCATTTAAATGTTAAATTGTTAATTACTGCTATCTAATAAGAAGTGGTCCAGGCCACTGAAAATTAATCCCAGACCACAGGCTCAGGTGCGCGGTACCCCAAGGTTCCAGTTCTCAGCTGTGACCATGAACACAATTATTTGTGAGAAATCTGGGAGAGTGACTTGTTCCAGAACATGAGATGAGAGAGAGCAGCTGTCCTACTGTTCAAAGATGGGAAAAGCTGCAAATTCTGGAAAACTACTTAGAGGAGGCTGCTGACAATTCCTTGCAAATTTTTAGAATAAAGCAAATAAAAATAAAGCACAGATACAAGTTGTTGTTATGTGCTGTTGAGTCACCTGCAACTTATAACAACCCTGTGTACAACAGCTCTAAACTCTGCTCTATCCTGTGCCAATCTTATTGTCTCTGATACACCTACCCCCATTATCACAGTCATTGCATTAATCCATCTCATCAAAGGTCTTCCTCTCCTGCGCTGTCTCTCCACCATCCCAAGCATGATGTCCTCTCCAAGGACTGATCCCACCTTGCAACATGCCCGAAGGATGTCAGATGAAGCCTCAGAATCCTTGCTCCAACGAGCAGCTTGGCTTCACCCTCTCTAGGATGAACCTGTTTGTTCTCCTAGCAGTTCATGGTATATTCAGTATTCTTCTCCAGCACCGCAACTCAAAGGCATCAATTCTCCTTCCATCATCTGTAGTCGTCTAGCTCTCTGATGCATAACAGGTAATTGCAAAGACCATGGCCTGAATGAGGCGCACCTTAGTCTCCAGACTGACATCACTGATCTGAGTAGCCCACACAAATAACATGAAGCTCAAAGTATGCCAGACTCACTTAATTTCCTTTTAGGATCATGTTTCTAGTCAGGGAGGTTAGTGGTAAAATGGGAAGAAAGTTACCTTCGTTTCCACCTAGCATTTAGCAGTCTGGTGACCTGAGTGTGGATGGCATGAAGAAAAGCAGTTCAAACAGGGTGGAAAAGTTTCATAGCTGCTGATTAGGGAAATATCTTTTGCCTGAGGAGAAGCTCCCTCCCTTGCTCTGCTCTTCCCTGCACAGACTTAAGTCAACAGCTTGAATGAACCCTGTTGTTGTTATGTGTCATCGAGCCGACTATGACTCAGAGTGACCCTATGCAGAATAGCTCTGAAGCCTGCTCTATCCTGGGCCAGTCTCACACTCTCTGACACTCCCCCCTACTACCCTTATTATCTTATTATTATTGTGTCAATCCATCTCCTCGAGGATCTTCCTCTCCTGCCCTG